CCAGTGGGGACCTCAGGGACCCTGGCTGGTGGCCAGCGCAGGGTGGTGGCTTCTTCCTACCCTCGGGCCACCATGTCCCTGGGGCTCCTAAGGAGGGCTGGGTGGGAAGAAGGAGGCGCAGGGTGCTGGGAAGCGGATGCTAGGGCCTTGGGTCCCCTGAGAGCCCAGAAGAGGGAGGGAAGACTCTGTCCCCCGGATGGCTGGGTAAACTGAGGCACAGGCACTGTCTTGAGCGCACTGCATAATGGCTGTCCCCTCCGTCCTCCCACAGAGCCGAGTGCCCGGTGGACAGGTGCGATTCCCCTTGCACAAGTGAGGAAGCAGAGGACTGGCCGGTGGTCCAAGGTCAGCCACCGCCAAGCCAGGCCTCTGCTGTCACCCTTGAGCTCCCTCAGTCTGGGGAAAGGTGACAAATGCAGGACAGAGGTGCAGCGGGGAGGACAGTGCCAGGCGTGGGCAGACAGATCAGATCTCCCTAAGGAGACGCAACCGGCCCACTGGGCACTGCGTCGGGTTTGCATCTTCGACCGGATGGGCAATGTGGGGCCTGCACCCGGGGTGGGCAAGACATTGGGAGGTGGGACCCGGTCCTCCCCGCTGCTCTCCTCAGAGTGTTGCACGAACCGCACACAGGCCAGAGGTGAGGTGACCCTGCGAGAGGTGTGGGACCAGGCAAGAGCAACACAGGGGCTGGGGTGCTTTTGCCCAGATCCGAAGGTGTGCAGAAGCCAAGGGGAGGGGTTTGAGCAGGGCCTGGTGGCGCCCATCTGTAACCCCCACTGGGGAGCCTGAGGCCCCTGGGGATCACGAGCTTAAGACCAGTAAGACCAGCCTGGTCTGCACGGTAGGACCCGCTCTCAAAAGGAGAAGGAACAGGAGGGAGAGGAGGAGGAGGGAACGCTGGCCTTGTCCTCAGGACCTTCTCCGAAGACTGCAGAGCCAAACCTGCTCTGCAGCCAGGTTAATGCCGCAGAGACTTCTGGGCCGACTCGGGAGACCTGCGTGAAGGTGTGGACAGCCCAGGCCAGGAGGAGGAGTGCAGGATGCAGGTGCCCAGCAGGCACGGCGGCCTTCCCACTGGGAGCACTCAGAGGCCAGGACTCCCAGGGCCCGGGGACAAAGGTGGCTTCACCCTTGCAGCCAGGGCACAGCCTGGAGGACCAGCGAGCTGCCGGGGTCTTTTGTCCTGCGGGAGGAGGGCAGGAGACAGGCCGGTCTGACGGGGTCTCAGCTGTGGCCAGGCCACCCATCCTGCTGTGGACGGCGGCCCAGGGCAGCCCGGGGTGAGCGGCAGTCAGGGCCGGAGGTGGGCGAGGAGGGCCCCGCCCGCCCCGCCCCTCCCGGGTGGCACCACTAGGCACGCAGCCGCACTTCGCCCGTGCCAGCCCTCACCTCCCGGCAACGTCGCCGCATTCTCAGCCACGCCATCTGGCGTGCCCGCCGCTCCCAGCACACTGCGGCGGGCGGGGGAGGGGGCAGGGGGCAGGTGCCCACCAGGCCCGGAGGGAGGGCGCTGCGGGCCCCTGCACTGGAGGCGGGCACGGGGCTGGGCAACGGGGTGGCCGGTCCCTCGAGCCTCCCGCACCGCGGGAGCAGGCACTGTCTGGGGAGGGCCAGCCGCCCGGCCCCTCCACCCAGCCATGCCAGGGCCCCGGGCCTTGGAGCACCTCCTTCGCTGGGGGGCTCCTCGCCTGTCCTCATGCCCCCGTCTGCCCCGCCCAGGCCCCAGAGGGAGTAGTCTGCTGTGGCCAGGGCCGCCCCCCGGGTGGGGCCCACCTGCTCCCCATAGCCTGGCACTGGGCTGAGAAACCCAGTCTCCTTCTGTACAGGTGTGCCCACCAACCTTATCTGGGGGGTAGGGGTGGCCGGCTCGTTGTCCTCCTGGATGCCAGAATGCACGGGAGCAGGCAGGCTCACTCAGGGATAAGTTTGTGAGGGGGAGCCGGAGGTGGCATGAGAGGAGTGTTCTAGAACATTCTTCCTGTCCCTGAGCAAGGCCCCTAGCTTGCTCCGGAATGACCGTCTCCTTCCGCCAGCCACCTTCTCTGTGGCTCCTCAGCCCCTCTCACCCCTTTCAGCCCCCCCAGCCCCCCCCACTCCTCTCAGCCCCTCTCACCCTTGCCCCTCAAGACCCGACCGATACAAAATGGCTGCCATCCTTCCAAGGCAGCCATTTTAGGTGCCCAGACTGTGACCTCCCTTGGGATGGGGCTGTGTCTCCATGGGAACCTCAAGCCCCTTTCTCCCTGCTCCCTCTGGGAGGTGTGGGCAGCAGAAACGGGTCTTCCAGACCTGGCTGAGGTGCCCACCACTCTCCTCTTTTCTCTCCGAGGCCTGGAGGGTACCAGGCCCCTCACCAACTCCCTTCCCCCAATGCCACAGGGAGGAACAGATGGCATCTCTGGGTGTCCTTCTCCTTCCGTCTCCTTCCTTCCATTTCTGGCTCTTTCTGTCTCTCTGACACTGCATCTCTGCCTCTCTGGGTGTGCAGAAGGGAGCTTGCTTGTCCCTGCGTGTTCATGCTTGTTGGTGTGACATGGACACACGTGTGGCCCCTCTTCCCAGCCCATGTCTGAGGCAGGCCCATCCCACACCTCCCTCTGTTCCAATTTTCCCCTGGTTTTTATTGTATCTTCTAAAAAAAAGTTGAAATGTGTTGCGTGAGAAAAACTTGTTCCATTTTTCTGAAGGAAGAAAAGAGAGGCAGGAAGCGGGCTGAGAGGGATGAAGTTCCCTGCACCCCCAGGTATAGCCCCCACCGACCTCGCGGGGGTCCTCCTGTGGGGGCCTCAGGGGGATCTCAGACCCAGAGAGCTGAGGTCATGCTGGACAGGAGGAGTAAGGGACCTCTCGGGGTCCCCTAACCTGGCCAAGATTCTGGCCCCCACTGCAGGGGTCTGTGAGACCCCGGTGGGCTTACCCCAACCCTTCCTGGTGTCCAGGGTAGAAGGCAGGGACAATCTTTCTCACCCAGGGACGTGTCCTTCCCTTATGCATCCACACACTCACCCAGTAATTTACAAAAGTTCCATTTCTTATAGACAAAGCATCCTAGATGTGTGCTGGGGCAGGGTAGGTACAAGAAATTAATATTGTAAAACATGTTACAAACTGTCTTAATAAAAACTAAGAGCTGGCATTTATTGGATACTTGAATCATTACACATATTATGCCATTGAATGATAACAGCAGCCCTAGAAGGGAATCGCAGCAGTGTCCCCATTATGCAGATAGGGAAATCAAGGCTGACGTAGAAGGCTTTGTAACTGGCTCAAGGCACTGAGCAGGTTTTGAAAATTTGGTGAGCAGCAATGGCAGGCTGGGGAAGCCTGGAGCATGTAACCAGGATACCAGGCAGCCGGTGGGCTTTGGAGAAGGTCCACTCAGCAGGATTGGGGACCCCATAAAGGGACAGTAAAGCCTTCAAGGGGTGCCCAAATCAGAGGGTATGTGCCCACCTTGAGGCCCATCCTTCGCTTCTGCCTCTGCCATGGGTGGGCCCTAATCACCTTCCAGAGGCAGGGCACACACGTGGCTTGTCCTTAGAGACCAGCCAGGCGGAGGAGCACCGGCTGGGACCCAGCCCGCCCTCAGCCTGTGTGCCCAGGGCAGCCCCCTGCCTTCCGTGAGCCCCGGGGAACAAGGCCTGGGGCTGTGCATTTTGAACTCCACCTCCTGGCCTAGTGGGTCTGAGAGCCCTCACGGACCAGGCCCCTTCCCCAAGGTCTCCGTGTCACACGCATAACCTCTCTCCATCTGTGTCTCCTCCTCAGCTCGGCCCGGGGGCTCCTGCCGGGAGAGGGTGAAGCCCCCCTCGTGCCTTCGTGGCGCCTGGCACCTGGGTGACCCCAAACACGTGCTGACTTCATAATCGGATGGGCCTAGGAGGCCGGAGTGGGGGCAGGAAGGGGGGCCTGAAGCCTGCCCAGGTGCCTGAGTCAGGTGCGGCCAGGGTCTCACCCCCTGGCGGTGATGACCTGCGCACGTGCGTGTGTGCATCCGTCCGGGCGGGGTTGTGCACCGTGTTCTGCCCACCGGCTAAGGAACAGGTGTTCGTGTGCGTGTGTGTATGTGCGCGTGCGCACGCGTCCCCCAACCTGCGCCTTTTGCATCGCCCTGGCCCAGTGCGAGGGCGAGGGCGCGGGCGCAGGGGTGAGCTGCAGGATGAAACGTCCCTCTCCCAGCTCCCCACCCAGACACCTGTCTGACCCACCTGGGGCCCCGTCAGCGGCCAGCGCCAGCGATTGCAGTGTTTTGTGCAGGGGAGGAGCGCGCTTGAGTCCCCCCCAGGACCCAGCCAGCCCCCTTCAGCTGCCTCCCCGCTCACCCCGCTGGAGGAGGCACGTGGAGTCACCTGTCCGGCCGGGGGAGGAGGCCTCCGGTAGGAATCCGGACTCAGGCCGCCCTCCGGCCCGGCTGGGGTGCACGGGCTCCTGTTGTCCGGCCCGCCCCACCCCCGCCCAGGAAAACACCTCCTGTCCCTGACTGCACGGATCCACACACGTGTCCCCACGGACACGCATGGACCCGCGCAGCGGCACCGACACCGGGCAAGTCATCCCCTTTCTCTGCTTTCCCTCGGTTTGAATTTCGCTCAGCCACATATGTCGCGCGCGTGCGGGGTGGGGGCGGGGCGGGCTGGCGCGGCGCCAGCTCCCACCTAAGGGGCTCGGCGGGACGCCCCGCGCCACCCCGGAAGGGAAGGGGCCTCAGCTGCCCCTTTGTGGCGGAGGGGGCCCTCCTGGGGAGAGAGGACTGCACGGAGGTCCCTGCTCCACACCCAGGGCTGGTCCTGACCCACCTTGGGGGCCCGCAGGAGCGGAAGGGGGGACGGAGCGGGACCCCGGAAGGCGCCTGAACTTGGTGGCCACCACAAAACCCCAATTTCCAGCCTGGCCACCCCATTGTTCCCCTGTGGGGGCCTCTCTACCTTGGGGGGCCACTCCTCCCACCTCCTTCTCCATCCCTGCTTTCCCTGCGTTGGGCGGGAAGGGGAGGGCGGCAGAGATATTTATTTATTTCCTTTATTTATTTAATTTTTTTTTGGAGTAGAGAGTGACAGATGGCGGCGGGTCCCGGGGGAGCCGGCTCTCCCCCAATGCAGACGCATGCCAATCACCGTCTCTCATGTGATAGCTGCTGCCCGTGACGTGCCAAGCCCATATGGCCTGGCATAGAGGCTGGTACCCCGCCTGGTAGAGATGCCACACTCGCTCCGCGGTTCGCATGGCGCGCTGAAGACGCCGGCGCCCGCCGCCTCGAGGAGCCGCTGCCCCCCGCTCCCTGACGATGGGGGAACAATGAACTAGGCGCGGAGACCCCTCTCTCCCCCTCTCTTCTGGCCCCCTCCCCTCCCCTCTCCCCTCGACTCCTCTCCGAGGTAAGTTGTCCGAGAGGGAGCTGGGTCTGACCTGCCAAGCTGGGGGGGCTGCCTCGGCCGACACGAGGGTCCCCGAAGCCCCCCTCTCCAGAAGAGACCCCCTCATGGGGTGCGCATCCATCGGAGGCGCCCCGGGTCCCCCGACCCCAAGAGCTGCAGCTGGGGGCCTGCGGAGGGAGGGCTTCTGCCTGCGATGGGCTTGGAGGGGGGAAGGCAGGGTCCTGGTGTGGGGGCGCGTGGAAGCCGAGGTGGGGACCCTCGAGGCTGTCCTGAAGGAACCCACGACCTTTCCCCACCGCCACAAACAAGAGCAGGAAGCAAACAAATTTGGATTTTCCTCCCATTCCTCCCGAAATACAACGAGCTCCTGAGAGCCATGGGGGAGAGAGGGGCCCGGGGTGGCCAGGGGCGCCCCTGGCCGCTGGGAACACGGACGGGGGGAGCCTCGGTCCCCGCCCAATGCTCCAGTCCCCGCAGCCCGGGCCGGCGCCGAGCGGGGCGCAGGGCCGAGGAGCGGATCCCTTGCCCGGACCCGGGCTGGGGCGGGGGCGGCGCGTGGCCAACTTGCAAATCGGATTAGGGATGCGGGGGGCCACCTGGGCTGGGGGGGTCGGGAGCCGGGCCGGGGCCCGGGCGCGGGCTGCTGTCCCCACCCGCGCCCGCCCAGCCCCTCTCCTTCACCTCCGGGAGCGTGCAGGCTTGGGGCGGGCGCGCCGCGTCCTCGGCAAAGGAATCGGGTCCCTGCAACCCCCATCGGGTGCCTGCTGGGACCCAGGAAGGACCCGGCGGCAGGAGAGCCCCCCATCCCCGCTAGGGGCGGAGCCGGGTCGGCGCGGGGAGATGGCTGGAGCCGGAGCAGGGCCTGGGCGGGGCAGCCGGAGGAGGGGGGGGGAGGGGCCGTCCGGGACCCCGGGCCGCAGCCCGCCGGAGACTCGGGGTGCGGGCGGCTGGGGCGCGCCGGGACCCCAGCGCGCCCTCACTTTGCGCCTTCTCTGTCTCCCCCGCGCCCCGGGGCGCCCACAGGCACCATGCTGACCCGCCTGTTCAGCGAGCCCGGCCTCCTCTCGGACGTGCCCAAGTTCGCCAGCTGGGGCGACGGCGACGACGAGGAGCCCAGGAGCGACAAGGGCGACGCGCCGCCACAGCCGCCGCCTGCGTCCGGGCCAGGGGCTCCGGGGCCCGCCAGGGCGGCCAAACCCGTGCCCCTGCGCGGAGAGGAGGCGCCCGAGGCCGCGCTGGCGGAGATCAAGGAGGAAGGCGAGCTGGGCGGCGAGGAGGAAGAGGAGGAGGAGGAGGAGGAAGGTCTGGACGAGGCGGAGGGCGAGCGGCCCAAGAAGCGCGGGCCCAAGAAGCGCAAGATGACCAAGGCGCGCCTGGAGCGCTCCAAGCTGCGGCGGCAGAAGGCGAACGCGCGCGAGCGCAACCGCATGCACGACCTGAACGCCGCGCTGGACAACCTACGCAAGGTGGTGCCCTGCTACTCCAAGACGCAGAAGCTGTCCAAGATCGAGACGCTGCGCCTCGCCAAGAACTACATCTGGGCGCTCTCGGAAATCCTGCGCTCCGGCAAGCGGCCAGACCTGGTGTCCTACGTGCAGACCCTGTGCAAGGGCCTGTCGCAGCCCACCACCAACCTGGTGGCCGGCTGCCTGCAGCTCAACTCGCGCAACTTCCTCACCGAGCAGGGCGCCGACGGCGCGGGCCGCTTCCACGGCTCAGGCGGCCCCTTCGCCGTGCACCCGTACCCGTACGCGTGCTCGCGCCTGGCGGGCGCGCAGTGCCAGGCGGCGGGCGGCCTGGGAGGCGGCGCGGCGCACGCCCTGCGGACCCACGGTTACTGCGCGGCCGCCTACGAGACGCTGTACGCGGCGGCGGGTGGCGGGGGCGCGAGCCCGGACTACAACAGCTCGGAGTACGAGGGCCCGCTCAGCCCCCCGCTCTGCCTCAATGGCAACTTCTCTCTCAAGCAGGACTCGTCGCCCGACCACGAGAAAAGCTACCACTACTCTATGCACTACTCGGCGCTGCCCGGCTCGCGGCCCGGAGGCCACGGGCTGGTGTTCGGCTCGGCGGCCGTGCGCGGGGGCGTGCACTCTGAGAACCTGCTGTCCTACGACATGCACCTGCACCACGACCGGGGTCCCATGTACGAGGAGCTCAACGCATTTTTCCATAACTGAGACTCGCGCCGGGCCCTCATTTTCTTCTTTCGCCTTTGCCCGCCCCTCCGCTCCAGCCCCCGAGGGCAGGGGCTCCCCGACCTGCCCGGCGCGCAAAGGGGCGCGGGGAGCCAGACAGCCCTGCGCGCTCCTGGGCAGCGCGGTCCGCAGCTGTGGGTGGCCCGACGTCCGGGGCGTCGCTTCCTCCCGGGGGACTCGCCTTCTCCCCCGAGGGGCTCCAGGCCCCTGTCCGGGGAGTGCGGCCCCAGGGACCCTCTCCGCCCGCTCCGTGGAGAGGCCCTGCCAGCCCCTTTTGGTTTCTCCTCCTCCTCCCCCAGGCCCAGAGGCGTCGGCGAGGGGCAGCTGAGCAGCGGGGTGTGCTTTTCCCCTTTCGTTATTATTTTAAAAGCAGACCCCCAGCTGCCACGGCCAGGCGCCCCCTCTTTCTCGCAGAGGGCAGAGCGCAGGCCTGGAAGGCCTTCCCCACCCCCTACCCTGAATCTCCGCGTTTTGCCATTTTAGTTTTGGCGGGAGGGGATGTGGATTGAAAGGAAAGAGAACAAGACAGTTTGTGACCAGATTACATTTGCCCTTTTCTTTTCTTTTTTTTTAAACAAATAAACATACAAATCAAGCTAAGAGGCGACGAAGGCCGAACTCAGAGTCCGGATTGGAAAGAAAACGCAGTAAGAACTTTTAGAAGCAATAAAAGGCAAAAAAAAAAAAATAGTACTACCAATAATAATAATAATAATAAAAAAGACACAAATATCTATGCAAGGAGGCTCTGACGGAGCCCAGGGCCCGGCCCGCCCGGGACGCCCCGCCCAGCGCGGGTCTGTGCACTTTGGTGAAGTGGGGGCTGCGCCCCCCCCCTCCCCGGTTCTTAACAATCAGTGACTCGGAGATTTGGGGCCCCAGTGCCACTGCCCTCCCCTGCCCCGCCCCGTTGTTCGTCACACTGTTTTTTAAAAAACCTGTTTCCAGATCTGTACGAAATGGCAAAGCGTTGGGGTAGGCTTGGGGAGGGAGGGTCTGCGTGAGCGACACGCGCGCCCCGCACCGCACTCGCTCGCAGGCCCGACGCGGGAGTCCGGAGACCAGGGTGGTGCGCGTGCTGCCGCTTCCTCCCCGCGGCCACCTCTGGCCCCTCTGGGGTGAGGCCAAGGGGACGGAGACCTGGGGCGGCCCCGCCTGCCTGGACTGCGCCCGGGCTGGCGCCAGGCGCCGGAGATTCCGGGCGGCTGGAGAGCGGTTTGTGTCCTCCGTGTCCTCCGCCTTGGCCGGCGGTGGTTGGGGACAGTGGGGGGCACCTTCTGCAAAGTTCCCTGAAAGGGGCGCACAAGGGAACCTCACCGCCCCGTGGGCAGGGCGCCAGACAGCCAAACACACGATGCAAAAATGCACACGCACAGGGGACACACCCACACTCACCAACACACACGCAATTTTACCTTCTTCTTGTAGGGAAGATGAAACTCCCGTCGGACACCCGAAGTGCATTGCGTGATTCTGTTCAGTTTAATGACGATTAATAAATATTTATGTAAATGAGATGCAAAGACGACCCGGTTTCTCACGGTGGCCTCCTTTGATGGGGGGGTGGGGGGGTGGGACTGAGCCGGAGCTGGGGTGATGGAGGCAGAAAGGCCAGGTGACTTTCAGAGGACAGAGAGAGGGACCCTGGGCCTTCCTGAGGGGCATTTCCACCCCACAGACTCCCAACATCCACTCAGTGAGCACAGAAAGAAACAGCTCCCCTACCCCGCACGGGACCCAAACACACAGGCTCCAAACACAAAGCACTCAGCAGGTTTTCTTAGACTCTGTCCTCAACACTTTCCTCCCACTTCTTGTTATTTTATTTTAGTTTAGTTTTTGAGACAGGATCAGCCTGGCCTTGAACTCACTATGTAGCCCAGGCTGGCCCGGAACTCAAAGTGATCCTCCTGCCTCAGCCTCCCCAGTGCTGGGATCACAGGCCTGTGCCACCCTGCCCGGCCCCACCTCCTTTTAGCACAGAGTATCTGTAGATCACTGAAAAGATGTTCAAGGTGGGAAGAGCAGGTCCTTATGCTATCCTGTGCTCTCTGCTGCAAGAAAGCAAATGGGTAGAAATTGAGAGAACCATTGGAGTCAGAAAGGCATATTTTTCAATTAAAAAAATATTAGGTCATGAGGATGAAGTATTGATGGGGAAATCCCTTTTCCAACTTAAATTTGTGTTTCAGGGGATCACCTGTTTTAGCTGCAGTCGTGTTGGCGTTTTGGGGGTGTGTGGGGGAGGCTACCCGGTGAGGTGCAGCGGGATTGAATCAGAAGCCTGGGGTTCCATCTGGGGCAGGCGGCCTGCGGCCCCCAGTCCTGCCTCCTCCTCCTGTCTATTCTAGATGCAGGGAACCCATACTGGGTTGGGCAGATGGGGGCACTGGGGAGGCCCTCTGGGGAGCAGGCCAGGTGCCCCTCCCTTCTTCCTCTCTGAGCTTCAGAAACTGTCAGCTCCGGACTGGATTCTCTAAAGTCTTCCCTTCCTCTTCCCCTGCTCAGGGCCCATGGGGCCAGGACTTTTCTGAGAGCAGTCTGAATGCCTAAGACCTCCATCCTAAAGTGGGGTGCCCTGAGGACTCCTTGGAAGGGACTATTCCTGATCTGCTCGCTTTCCCCAAAACTCCTTCCCTCATCTTAGGCCACATGGGGTCGGGGTGCCCTGGGGGGTTGAGGTCAGGTGTGCGAAGGCTTGGTTGAGGGCTAGTTGGGTCCCCCAGCCCCAGATGAGACCTCCCTGCCTGGAGGAGGAAAAGGAAGTGCACCCTAAAGCCAAAGGGTAGTTTGGATGTGAGCTCAGCGGCAACCCCAAATGTCCGCACCAAAGCCCTAGTTTCAGGAGTAGAGGAGACGCTCTCTCTCTACCCCAGCGCACCGCCCCGCAGGACGGAGGACAGAGGACCGAGGCAGCAGAGCCCTCCCTGGCTGTGGAGGGTGTGGCCTTCCCCAAACCCTTTTCCAATTCTCCTGCACTTGTCAGAGCCTTGCTGAAGTTCCTTCCAAATGTGCCACCTTCTCTGGAATCCTGAGCCTGCCTCTCCAGAGACCGCAGGCTGAGCCCTCGTCCCCAGACCACTGCACTGGTGGCTGCTAACAGGAGCTTCAAGAGCTCTGAGTCACCCTCTTTTGGGAGAAAGGAAGCAGCCGTCTTTCTTGTCCTCCGCTTCTGTTGGGGTGTGGAGGAGGCCACAGAGCCAGACCTGGCCTGAAGCAGGCAGGGCTGCTTGCGGTGCAGGGCAGGCCTGGCAGGAGAGACTGGAGCTGAAAGGACCTGGCAACCATGCTGAGGCCTAATTCTCATCTTGCCCTGGAAAGAAGGCCAACTGGGCTTCTCTCCCACTCAGCAGGTCTCCCAGAACTTGCTGTGAACTCCGGGGCTGGGTGGGCTCCAGGTGGGAGCAGAGGACCCCTCCACGTGGCTCCCAGCCTGGCCACACACGCCCTCGAATCCCTCTTCCACCCTCGCCGGGCTGCTCGGTTGTGCTCCGGAAGCCAGCTCCCAGCCCCTTTCGAGGATGCTGCTGACTCTCAGGCCTCCGAGCCTGCGGCTGAGTCTGGCGGCGGAGGCACCGGGTCCCTTTTGGGGAAGGGGCCCGAGCCCCCGGCCTTCCGTGGGTCCCTCCCGCCGCCCCTTCCCCGCTCCTGCGCCTTCCCCACGCTCCCTGCGCTTCCGCTGCACTCTGCGCTCTTCCGCCCTGCTCCCCAACCCTTAACTTCCCTGGGAGCCGGAGATGAGCAGGAGAAGAAGATGTGCATGGACACGCGGCCCCAGACGACCCCGCCGACCGTGGCTGGGCTCCTCTCCCTCCTGCCTGCCGGGCACTCAGCGAGGCTCGCGGACAGAGGGAGGGGGAGGCGGCCACGACGGCGTGGGGGCCACGGGAGGAGGCGGGAGGGACGTCCTTCTGGCTGCAGCTCGAGCAGCGAGCAGCGGGGTCTCCAAGCTCTCACCAGCCGCTCGGCTCCACGCTGCCCGCAGAGCTGGGTCTGGGTTCAATCAGGAAGGCGTTTTCCCCTGAATTTTCCAGCCCTGTCTCTCTTCCAGTGTTTGGGCATTTCGGTGATATCTCTGAATCCAGGCCATTTGCCCATCTGGCAAGAAGGGAAAGCCGGAAAGCTGCTGCTGCCTCTCCCCACACCGCTTACCTCCCTGCTGGCCAGGACCTGGACAGAGCCCCTGACTTCATCCTCACGGAGGACAACCCAGTACCACTGGGAGAAGCTGGGCCCGGGAGGGTCGGCCACAGGGAAGCCCTGGCACTCTGGCTACTCTGCAGGCTGTGCCCGCTTCCGTTTTTTCCCTTTCACTGGCAGGTCGGCAGGCTGGTGGCTGCAGGATTGGTGGGCAGAGGTCAGGGAATTTGTTCCCTTTGGTGCAACTTTGCTTGGTTCTCTCCCTCCCAACCTGTAGCAGGATGTCACCTGCTCCTAGGGAACTCTGTTGATTTCGGGGAGGCACTGGTGGCTGGGGTGAATCTGGATTCCACTGTTTAGTTCTCAAGGAAATTAGGGAGAGAGAGAGGCAGCAGAGGTCCGACCTGGGCAGCCTGGGCATTGACCTCCACTCCTGAGCCCCTAAGCAGGAGCGAGGGCAGCCAGGACCCTGCCCTGACTTCTCCCAGCCTGGGAGGGGACAGACAGGCCCACCTGCCCCATCACGACAAGCTTCCTACTCACAGCCCAAGATGCTATTTCTTCCTTCTGGGCTGGGACAAAGTGACACCTGGACTACAAGGAAACTTGCAACCCTGCCCTGTTCGGGTCCCTAAGCAGCTTCTACCCTTCTGTCCTACATCTTTGAAAATTCTCGACAAAGTTTCCCTAGGTGAGAAGAGGGCACCATGCTGGTGCTGGACAGAAAGGCTGTTCTGATAAACTTTTTCCATCCTAAAGCACTGGGCTAGCAGCCCCAGCCCGGGCCTTCCAGTGGAAAAGGCAGAGACCAGGTGGGCAGGCAGGGGAGGGCGCAGAGCTGCAGGAGTGGGGCCATCCTAACCCCCTGGTTAAGGGGCAGGAACCCCTGAGGGCCAGCCGTAGGGAGGGAGCTGGGGCACAGCATTGGATGGGGACACCCAGATGTGCGCTCGGCTTTTTCTTGCCAGGTCCAGGCCAGAGCATTGTGTGGTCCCCAGGGCTGGTCGGGCTGCCGAGTTCCACTCCCTTAGTGTGTGTGTGCCGTGTGCCCAGTGTTCGCTTTGCTTCCCTCTCTCTGGAATTAATTGAATTAGGAACGGGTCTTCCCAGGGCTCTCCTGCCTCCTGCCTGAGGTTGCTCTGGCCAGGAGGCCAAAGCTGCAAGGTCAGGTCCCGCTGGGGCTGCAGAAGCCCCCAAGCCCCTTTGGGGACCCTCGTGCCAGTTCCCACCCTCAGCCAAGTCCTTGCCAAGGGCACAGCTGGGCGGGGTCTGGGCAGTCCGCCCGGCTTGGGACATCTGTTCTCGCCAGAGCCGAGCTGCATTAAAGGGGTGGGGGTAGGGGGCGCAGAACCAACCCCTCCTGCCTAGGCCAACGCCTGCTTCTGGACCGAAGGCTGAGGCAGGAGAGGACACCCAACTCTCTCCGTAGTTTTTTCTTCTCCCTTGGGAACAGCTCAAACATTAGGGTGGGGAGGGGGCTCCCTCCTCTGTTCATCTCACCCACTTCTCAAGCTGATGCCGCCCCAGTCCCGTCTCCCGCAGGGCAGCAAGGCACCCGGCTCTGCCCGAGTCTCCGCAGCCCCCGGAGGCGCGCGCACCGGGATGGCGGCTCAGAACCCGCTTGCTGCGAACTCGCTCCTCCCGGCTCCGGGCGAGGCCAGGCCGCCGAGGGGGGAGGGCTAGAAACAGCTCAATTAAAATATCAAAAACCTTTGGGTTTCTATGAAGGGCAGGATGGTGTTAAAAAAAAAAAAAATCAGCCACAAAGCCCCATAAACAAAACCAAATCCAAATCCTTAACTCCTGATCCTCCTGGCGAAAAAGAGAAGCGCAGTCCCTTCTCCCTGTGTGCGTGTGCGCAGCTCCCACCTGGCCCAGCCCGCCGGAGGCGCGGTCCCCACCCCAGCGCCCTGGCGCCCAGCCCAGGTCGCCCCCTGCCCACCCTTCGCTCGCGTGTTGGTGCCAGTCTGTGCCACTCAGCCGGTGCCCGGTGCCAGGCGCGGGGGGAAGGCGGGGAGGAGCCGAGGCTCCAGCTTAAATTCCATGGCATCTGTTCATTATTATACAGTGAGGATTTTTATATGGACAGCTAAATTAAAGACAGATTTTTGCCAGAATTGCAGATCCCATAAAAATGATGACACAGGATGGGGGCTTTTTCTTTTCTTTTCTTTTAAGAAACATTTTAGAAACACAACCTCCCAAGCCACAACCCAAACACCTCCGGGCCGCTCCTCTGCTGAGGGTGAATTTTCTTCCTCACGTTTTCCCCTCCACTGGCTGCCCAGGGAGAACCAACTCCCAGTGCTCTCCGTGCCCAGCTTGCTCTCAGATGCCCAGTGGCCACTAGCTCACTGGCACAGTGGCTGGCTGGA